CCACGCTCGGATGCGGGTTGGCAGTTACTTTTTGAAAGACATCTTGGTAATTCAGGCTTTCCGATTACATAATAAAGGATCGTTGCGTAGATCTTATAATTGATAGACGTAGCAGGGATTCATAATGTAACTTTATTTTGTAAGGGCTAACAGGCGTTTTACAGAAACATGCATTTTCAAGGGAAGAAGGGGTTTTTTTTTGGCAGTGTTTGACTTTCCATGTAAAGAAAGCCACAAGACTGTCCCGAATTATTATTTTCGGTACAGTAACAGTGGTTGAACTACGGTGGGTCTTAGATTGCAATGCAAATGTCTTCACTTTTTCTGCAAAGTCCTCTGCAACAAGCTGTCTTGTTTCCTGGAGTATTTTAGTTTGTGAGCCTATGTGATTGAATTTACTGAAGTTTTCAGCAAATAAGAAAGCAAAGATAGAAATAGAGGACATTCATCTCTCCTGTGGTGTGGGTGCTCATATTTTTTAATGGTACTGGATTTAATAAAAGAAAATTTCAAAGCAAAAGGAGAAACTGATGCAAGGCACTTCCTCTTAACTGTCAGGTTGAGATCTATCTTTTAAAAATGTTCCGAAGTCTCCTGGTAGCTTTGGTATAGCAAAGCATGGCTTTGGCCCTGTTCATGTTTTTGTCTAGTAGTTGAAAAGGTTTGGAGTGCATTAATGTTCCGTGTGGGAGGTAGGGATGAACTGCTGATGAGACAGCTGTGTCACAAAATACTTCAGTGTGATATTGTTTTGATTGGGGACTGCTACTTGGTTTGTATAATTAAGTTTATACAGGGTGTTCTCAGCAATACTAGGAAATAGTAGTATTAGTAGTGATACTAGTGGAGATGCTACTTACCTGATTCCTTAAGTATAGCTGCATTAAGAAAGCACAGTTTCATTAAATTTTGCTTTTAAATTTTTGTTCTTATTGTATGAAAGATACTCTTACTACTCCACAAGAAAGAAAAAAAAAATTGTAAAGAATTGTGAAAAACATGAAATAAAAAATACAGGAGACAAATGGTTTTTCCCTGTGGCCTGTCTTGGTTATAGTACTGTGAAATGTTACGTAACAAAAGTAATGTATTCTCATTTGCTGGAATCTTTTAAAACGATATTTCAAGTGATACGATATGTAAAACATACTAGATGAAAGACATTAGCTAAGGTAGACCTAATAATTGTTCTTGTCATTATTTAATATGTAAGTATAATTGTGGGCTTGATCCATTTATTTCTGACAGGTTAATTCTTCTTTCTTAAACTTTTCACAAAAGTTATGAAATGTGATTCTTTCATACTACTCCACTTCAGAGTTTTGGTTACTTAAAGAGCGATCTTGTTCTTGCCTCTACTACTGGTGACAATAGGTGATTCACTTGGACACTTCTCCCTTCTGTTTCTCAATTACAACCATGCAAGGGTGATCACTAAACGCTTTGAGATTTGTTGATGATGAGCACTAGGTAGGAGTTGTATAGCGTTATTAGACAACAAAGCAGTGAAAAGCACAAGAAGGCCAATGGAATAATTGGTCTGCTAGATTTTACAGAACTCTATTTTTAAATTTTTTTTTCCTTCACCCTTTGTTCCCTTTCTTTATATAGATCTCATGAAATCTGAATAGTGACACCTGTAAGTTAAATTCTGAATGTTCCTTTGTAGTAGCTTTGTTGTGAAGATTAAATTTGTCTTCTGTATCTGTTGCGATACAACTTCAGTTTTCCTCTTCTCCCCCCCCCCCCCCCAAAATTGCTACTTGCTGTAATCATATATTTTTGTAAACTGTATACCATTCCTTTTATTTTAACTGTATGTCCATAAACTCCTGTGTTGCTTTTGGTAATCTTTCCCTTGATTTTATAAGCATCAGCTCTCAGCAAAGCCTTGGTGTTTTTGCTCTGCCCTTGCTGTTGCTTTTGAGAGGTAGCCTGATTAAGTGCATTAGTCTTGTCCCTGACTGTCACCAGTGAGGGAAGTTTGCTGGGTCCACAGCTGTCTGGCCGTGCTGATGCCATAGGTAGTTTACATCAAGAACGATGAACTTGGTGGTCAGAGCCACAGCTCTGTCTATTCAGTGCTCCACCTACGGAACAGGTGAGAAACTACCCAGTTCTCCTTCTGTGCCACTATGTGTCATGCATCTAGTTTATAGCAAAGAATAATTTGCTACGTAAACTGTCCTATGAGTTGTTTGTAAAGAATGTTATTAAATAGCTAAGTAGTTCAGGTATATTTAAACTGTGGATTGCCTTGCAATATTTTTTGATGTTTTACATTATCTGCTGAATACTCTTAATTTTTAAAATATTTATCTTCATTTTCGTTTCAGGATGACACAGAAGAAAATTCCAATGACGGCAGCCAGCCGTCCAAAAGACGACGTATGGGCTCAGGGGACAGTTCTCGGAGCTGTGAAACTTCTAGTCAGGACCTTGGGTAATACTATTTTTTACAATTCCCACTTTTTTGTTGCTAGTCTTGCTTTATTGTTCGATATGCTTAAGTATTAGCTCTTCTTTCTTTGCTTGTATATTCTTTAATTATCTTTCTGAATGGAGGCAATGTCCTATGAGTAGCTAGCTGTCTTTTTCTCCCAGCATATTTTAAGACATTTTATTTTAAAACGACACAAAATGTGCTGCATCTAATTTGCAGTCCAGAAGCACAGCTTACCTGTTTTTAAAATATTACTTTTTTTTGAGTGAATTTTGACACTGTAGTACCTGCTTTTCCTGGTGTCCTATCCGCTATCATGGGTATCCCTTTCTACATGTTCTGTGCTTCAGCACATTGATGAATGCTGGTTTGGAGAAATATGTGTGAAGTGGGGTGTAACAAAGTGACTTTGAAATGGGTTAACAGGATGCAGTATTCTAAAGTGCTTGTCCAGCTTCATAGGTGTTGTTCATTGACATATAAATAGGAATTATTGAATTTCTAGAAATGTAAGCATCCATCTTAAGGATTCTTTGATTTGTTCTAACATTGTTCTTATACTTAGATACAGCTATTTTCCTGCTGAAAACTTGATAGAATACAAGTGGCCACCAGATGAAACAGGAGAATACTATATGCTTCAGGAGCAAGTCAGTGAATATTTGGGTGTGACTTCCTTTAAAAGAAAATATCCAGGTATTTATTTTTAAAGTTTTTCTTCTAAAAAATCTTGGTGTTTATACAGCTTGGATGTAAACTTTGCCTCTCTGACTATAGCATGAGCCAACTGTTTAAAAAAAGAGCCTGGCCAAAGTGGATCTGAATTATGTATCTTGTACTTTTTATTTTTGTTACTGGCATATTGAAAATATATCCTATGGTTTTTGAAGTAATTTAAGACTTTTTGGTATTGCCACTGAAAATCTGTAAACAAGTCTGATTTGGGGGTTAGATCAGCAAGTACCTTTTGAAAACTGACCTCAAATTTATTTTTAAGTATTCTGTTGGTGATAGCTTACTATATAGCTATATCTCTGTATTCTGTTTCCTGAATTGCGGCAACATTTCTACACTGGAAGAATATTAAAAAATGAATTGGGGAGGTTCTAGGATTTGAGCCTTCATTATTCAGAATTGTCAAATCTGGTTCTTCTGTCATGGAATTTATTTTTAAAAGGCATATTGAAAGAAAAATAGAATGTACCTCCAGTGCTTATTAATGTTTTCTGCATCTGAGCGCGTATGTCAGATTTCTTTAGTATTTCTGTAAATCATAACTACAGGCAGGATACTCAGAAAAATTGACCATGTTCCTACAGTGTATATTAAATTAAAAATTAATTTATAAAATTATCGTGTTTGTAGGAATAGTAGTATAATATGGACTCTCACTGCCTGGAAATAAAATTGTCAAAATACTTTGACACTGTTTATGGGGGAGTTTGAGTAACTGCGCACATTTTTATTGCTGTTTTTTGTTTTCTTTGGAGATTTAGAAAGACGAGATCTATCTCACAAGGAGAAACTCTACCTCAGAGAACTAAATGTTATCACAGAGACTCAGTGCACACTAGGTAAGAAAACAAATTGTTAGATTCCTTGTTACAGTATTAAAAATATGACACTGAAAACGTGATTCAGTTTGGTAGAAACGAATCGCATCACTCTCAACTGAAAACGTAAATTCTGAAATGAAAACTGGTTTATTATTAATTTGTGTAAATTTGCCATGAGGTATCAGTATTTCAGGTTTATTATAAAAAAAAATTTTTTTAATTTTATTTTGGAACTGTTCTAATTACTAAGCAAAATCCCTTCTGTGTTGTAAATTAACTTTTAGAACCTTTTTCTCCTTCTAGTAAAGAGAACACCATAATTTTTCAAATTAAAAAGTACATCAGTCTTGTTTTGCTGAGCTAGTTGGAACTCAGCAAACGTCAGTGTATCTTAATATGGTTCAGCCTATATGTTAGAGGTTAGAAGGTTGTGAATTAAAGCACTTTAATGTACTTGAAATGGAATGATGTCATAGATGCGGCTTATATTGAAAGAGCTTCAAGTATCTCTTTCTTCCTCTGCTAATACGTGTGACTTAAAGCATGTTAGAGATTAAATGATGCCCGTTGCATTTTTTTCTGTATATCCTGGGTTTGTGCAAATGGAACGTTGTTTTACATACTAATAGTCTTTGGTGTACCACCTTTATTTCCCACTGCCAGCTCTCTTGATATTTTTTTTTTTTTTAAACTTAAATATGCGGGAGAGAACAGTGTCTAATTTTTATTAATAGAAGCAAAATGCTATATTCTGCCTCATATCTCCAGTAGAGATGTGCGCTGAGTTAACTTATCCCTATTTTTTTAAGGTTATATTTATAATCAGTGGTAGTAACATAAGTCAACCTCCATTCTACTGTCAATGTTTGGAGATAGTTGTGTTGGAACCTTTAAAGGAGGAGTTCTGCATTGTAGCTGCAAACTGAGGCATTCTGACTTCTGAACTTCAAATGCTTTAACTGGGAGTCAGGAGTCTGTGTGCAGTTTGCTGCTCTGAATTGCCCTCACAGTAATTCTTCCTTGATTTGTATAGGGAGGGTATGTAAACCTCCTAATTTCAGTTAAGGTTCTGCAAGTTAATGAAGCTTAACACTTCATCAATATTGGAAACTGAAACTAACAGTTCACTAGGTCCCCCTTAGAACAAAGGCTCTGCATCGTGGGGGAGTTTAGTAGGTGGCTGAGTCAGCGTTAAGGGGTCTGTAGCTTTAAGCAAGAAAATAAATGAGCCTTGCCTCCTTGGGTAGAAGCAAACTCCTAATCAACCTTGAAAGCTAAACAGCACACGTTCACTCCTACTTGAGAGAGAGAGAAGCATTGGGCACAGCAGGTTGTTGTGTTTAGCTGCTCAAAAACTTGAGTTGATCATTGTGTGATATAAATAACCTACAGTTAGTTTTGCCAGATAGCATCATTATTGCTTTTATCTATTTTAGGTCTAACAGCTTTGCGTAGTGATGAAGTAATTGATCTTATGATTAAAGAATACCCTGCCAAACATGCTGAATATTCTGTTATACTGCAAGAGAAAGAACGTCAGCGAATAACAGATCATTATAAAGAGTACTCTGTAAGTAACTAGCATATAAGTGAACCAGATCTGTAACATGTGGAGTATAAGAAAAGGCTGTTCTCAAACTGATAGTGAAATGTATGTGAATTAATAAAATTGTTTTTATTCCAGCAAATGCAGCAGCAGAACACACAGAAAGTAGAAGCCAGTAAAGTTCCAGAATATATTAAAAAAGCTGCCAAGAAAGCTGCAGAATTTAACAGCAATTTAAACCGAGAGCGGATGGAAGAAAGAAGAGCCTATTTTGATTTACAGACACATGTAGGCAGATTTAAATTTCTTATCAATGTCGATAGGTAGCTCCTTGCTTGTTTTAGTAAAGTTGGTTTTCGTACCATTTTAAGTATTTTATTGTCAAGGGTTTTGATTAGTCTTGTTTCAGTCATGTAGGGACTTAAACAGTTTTGCTGTTAAATGGTAATACTGCTTAAAAAAAAAAATCTCGTATATTTAATGTGAAAACTTGTTTTTTTAACTTGAAAATACTTGTCTTGGGAAGCTTTAAAATTTTCAGTGTTACTTTGTTGTCGTGTTTTTAATCTGCTGGTAAGAAAACTAAGAAGGATGTTTAGGATACTAAGAAGCTTCTGTTGCTATTGTATCTATTCATATAAATGGCTAATTGTTTTTTGGAACACCTCCAAAATTTTGCCTGAACAGTTCTTAGAGGAAAAAAGTAAACTATTTATCCTCTAAAAGAGTGCTGCCTGTCAGTATTATGCCCTTGTTTTTGTTAGGTGTTATATTATTTTCATATTAGATATATTTCATGCTTCTGTGCCTGATTTAAAAAAATAAAAAAATTAGCTGGCATTTTGAAGCAGGACTGTTCTGCTTGTTTAAAGACAGTAAAGCAAAACTTTTCTCTATGCAAATTATTAAATGGCAGTCTATTATGGAAAGTTTACATTTTTCTGGTATTGACCCATGTTAGAGACAAGATAGTGGATAATTAGTTTTATTTCTTTCTAAGGGAAAGAAGGCTTCTGTGTAAGCTTCTCCTTTCCATATATTTGTGTTATTAATGGGATTTTTTACAGTACAGTCTGGTTTCAGAATTAGATGGACATGTTCTTGCTACCCTCTACCAATATGGACCAGCAAATGATAATTCATGCTAAAGATGCCAGTCACAAAAGTTAATGTTTCAATTGTTAGATTTTAATTTTTAAATTATTTTACATAATACACTGTTAGAAGTAGTCTTACCTAATATTCGTTCAGTTCACTAGATACTTAGTGATTGGACTTAATCTGTAATACTGTTTTGTGAGTGGGATCTCTTACTGTTTTAATGAATAGGATTTCCCACGGGAGAACTCAGGTGGCTGTTCCAACTCAATAAAACTGGCTAGTTAAAAAATATTTGGGGGGTAGATGGTGAGGAAGGCTCAAAATTTGTCTGTGAAACAAAAACATCATTGTTTTGTATTAAACAATACAGATTATCCAGGTGCCTCAAGGAAAATACAAAATCTTACCTACAGAGAGAACAAAGGTTAGTCCTTATCCAGTGGCTCTCATACCCGGCCAGTTCCAGGAGTACTACAAAAGGTATTCTAAAAGCATCCTAACTGCCAATTCTGTTTCACTGGTGTATTTGCTCTACATCTAGCAGATGGAAATACATTTCAGTGTATTTACTGTAAGATTTTGAATTCATTTTATGCTTGAGACACTTGTTAGTTTAATAGATGCATAGTGTGACAACTTTTGTCAACAAAATAGTATTGGCTGCAAGAGTACTGTCTCCACTGATGTATTGCTGTGCCTGAGATTTGGCCTGCTCAGATATTTACTGTGGTAAAAGGAGACATTGATTTCACTCCTGCCACCCTCAGGTTTTTACTTATCATCTGCCTCTGCATGTGTGCTAAGATTAATGTTGCTATATCAAAATGTTGTAATGCTGGCTTGTGATCACATATTTTCCGTGTGACAGTCTTACTGTCCTTTTTTAAATTTTTAGAAAGTTTTTAATTTAAAAAAAGTTTTGATTGGTCTTGTGGGCTAAGTTTAATGTTGGATTTGTAAGTGAGAGAGAAAGGTATTGCTAGTTGGATCTTTATATTTAATGAAAAATGCGTACTTGACTGTCTACACAAATTTAAAACTTCACCAGTGGCATGCTCCCATTTGACAAATACATACTGATTTGAAAATTGTTGCCCAAGTCTTACCATCTGTACAACAGAGAAGGTACTTATCCTATACATGCACAGTTTTCTATAGAGAAGCTCTTTATGTGCATATGCCTTGCTCATACCAGTGTGTGTGCTTACAGCCCACTCCAAATCTGCATTTTACAGGACATTCCTGAAGGACTTCAATTTTATTAAATTAATTGGATTAAAAATACTAGATATCTGGTTTATTTTGCACTTATAAGCTGCAGGTGAAACTGCTTATCCTTCTTAACAAAGGACACGACCTTTCAAAATATGCATCAAAATAATATCCTACTCCGTACAGTGCTTGTCCTCAATAGTAAGAGGACTTTCACTTTTTTCTTAGTATTTAAGGTTAAAAACAAAAGGGTGGATTACACATGTTAAGCTGTATCTGGCTATAAGCAATGTGATTGGATCTTCACATTCTTCTGAAATTTTATTTTTAAATGCATTTTTTGTTCTCCTTCAATAATCAAAGAACTTGGACATATAGCTATATTCTTTACTTTGCTTTGGACCCTAGCTGTTTGCGTGCCCTTGTTGTGCACATGCTGTGTGGGCACTGTACATTTATAAAAGTGTATAATCTTTTGGGCATTGTTATGTGGATTGGTCAAAAATTTTTAGGGGTTCCATGTCCTCTTATGATTATGTAGGTTTGGAACATTGCAAATAATACCCTTCCTGTGTTCCACGAATATCTGCTATACAAAGAAGACAAGTACTACATGGTATCACATTTAGGAGGAGAAATTAGTATGTTTCCTATGTTTTCAGAACTGCATGTTTTTATGTCCCTTCCTGAAAAAGGGAGTTTTGCTTACTCTTTCTCATTGAAGTCCTTGTATGCTGTGTGACTTAATATTTATGCATAAAGTACACGAGTTGATTTTATTTATTTATTTATTTTTTAACTTTAGATACTCTCCAGATGAACTTCGTTACTTGCCATTAAACACAGCTCTTTATGAACCTCCTTTGGATCCAGAGCTGCCTGCGTTAGACAGTGATGGAGATTCAGATGATGCAGAGGAAGGGCGAGGTGATGAAAAACGGAAACCCAAAGGCAATTCGGTGAGACAAATTGAAAGTATTCTTCAACAAAAAAATCCTTTCCCTTCACTTTTGTTAGTTTCAGTAGTTTCTTAGTAGAATCTTTAACATTTGCAAAATGAAGGAGAATCATAAACTACTCCCCCCAAAAGACTACTCCCTTTTTTAGTAGTTCGCTTTATTTTATAACATTGCTCTCCAGCTTTCTGTTTTGATCCATTTTTAAAGTAAATCAAACAAATACTTGAAATTTCAGGCCCTTTCTTCCTTGTTTTTAAAGAAATCTTGAAGAATCTTCCCAACTGCAGCCCTTTGTTACGCCCTTTTCCCTAAGGGGAAGTTGCTAGCATTTCTGAGGGGAATGAACACTGTAGTTCAGGTCACAGCATATTTTGCTATTTAAGTCCCACAGAATCTGTCACTAAAGCAAAGGTATTGATAGCCTGATGACTACTTCTTCTTGTGACGTAGAAGCAGGAAGTACTCAATACAGAAACAGTTACTTTATTCCAATTTAAAGAGAAGATAAAAAACACTGTTTTTTTGCTTTACAATAAATCTTTAAAAAGATGTTTATGTTCTTTCTGTTTATGCAAACGCAAAATTAACTGTTACTGGAAGTTAAGGGAAACTTTCACATACCTACTTGGTAGTGTTTTAAGTGTTCAAGAGCAGCTGAGCTTCAGATGAGCTGTCTGAGTACAACTGAACCATTGGTATATTGGTATAGTTAGCATGTTGGTGACAACCACTTTCCAGAAGTTTAACCCTAATTTTAAGAGAAATAGAATGTAAAATCACAGGTGCATTTAACAGTTTCTAGTTCAATTGATGAACATGTTAGATGATGGGTATATATAATGCTAAATTTTGCCATATAAACATTTATTTTGTTTGAATATTCATAAGCTACTCAGAACTGAAGAAAAAAGGAAGGAGTCAGCTTGTAGGCTAACAAGGGAGAGATAGCTGTTAATAAACCCTTTCTGCTCGCATTTTTTGGAGAAAAAGAAATCATATAAACTTAGCACACTAAATGTCAACTCAAAATTTTCGTTTAATCACACTCCAGCTTTTTTATAGTTGGTCTTTAACCATTTGTTCCCAGTTTTCTTCCCAGTTCCCCTTAACGGTACGGAAAAGTAACTGGACCGAGCAGACTATCCTTTAATTTTTCACAGAAGTTCAGAAGTCTTTTTGGTGACAGAATGCAGAAGGGAAAATGTCCTTTTGTTGGAAAAAAAATAACATGAGATTCCTGTGAAGTGGGTTTGGCAGGGGTTCTTTGCTAGTCATTGGGGCACGTTGTTCGGGAAAAATATCTGTTGAACACAAAGCTGGGCAGTTGTCAGGCCTCTCTTCCTGAGTTTTGAGCTACCTACCATTCATCAGATCTCCCTGGTGAGTCCTACAATATGCTCTATGGCTTTTTCTTTTTTCACCCTCTCCATTGTTGGAGTCAGGTAGCAATTTTCCTGTTCTGCAGTGTTTTCATGGGCCTGTCCTAAATAACCCTTCCCCTAAAACAACGGTGAAACATACCATTTCTTGTTGCCACATAGTTTGCTTTGCTTTTGAGTTATACTCCTCCCTTTGCACTGTGTCTGTTTTGATTTTAGGCTCTGGGGCATAGGCTGATTACTATTATGTTTGTACAGAGTGCCTTTTACTGTAGGGCACCAGTGTTATTTGGCCTTTTGGTTTTTATTTGTAATAAATGTGATTAATCATATTGCTTTCTTCTGGAGCTTTTTGGAGGCCTTTATTAACACTTTTCTGGGAAAAATCTTGTGCTGCTGCTCTTAATTATGCTTACATTGATCTCTCACTCTCTTTGAGCCTCTTTCTCTCTTTCTTGCCTCCTCATTCCTCAAAAAAAAATGCTTTCACTGCAGCATAAATTCTGTTGTTTGGTTCTGTATTAAATATTGAAATGTGTTTTGCCTTTGATGGCATTCTTCTGCTGCAATCCAAATGAAATATTTAGATTGCTCCTGGTGAAAATAGTAGATGAGGGTGGCAGAAAAAACCTTCACATGTTTAATTCAAGGCAGTGCTATTTGGTAATACACTTCAAATGCATGGCAAGGGCACTTTTAATTTTTTGCTGGCCCTTTACTTTGTAAACAACATCTTGCATATAGTGGATTTCTTGCTGACTTTTAAAGGAAAACGGTTCAAAGAATTACACTGTTGTGCTCCCCACTCTGGTATCAAAACCAACTGGAAGACATGACTGCTATTGCTGATGCCAGTCTCTTAGCATGCGAAATAATAGATAATGAAGGTTATGAGCAAAGGTGTTCTAGATTGTGATGTACCCCGTGCTTTTGCAGAAGGAAAGATGTATCCTTCACTTATCTTAGTTGGCTCTAAGGGGCATAGGAAAGACTTGTCTGTCTATCCAAAAAATAAAAAATATAGCTATGGTATTTTTATTATAGGACAATTCGTCTGGCAATGTATCTGAAGGTGATTGCGCCACAGACAACCAGGAGGATTCTTTTCAGGGAAGACAAAAAACAAGAGACAAAAGTGCTACTCCAAGAAAAGATGGTTCCAAACGTTCTGTATTACCCAAATCAGTTCCTGGGTACAAGGTAGAAGAAAAAAGCCCCTGACTGAACTTCTTTACTGACCAGCCTCTCCCTGAAATATTTGTTTTTTCAATAATATGGAACTTCTGCTTGCTGTATTTCACTAGCTGCTCTCCTGTTGTGTGCTCCATCTGTTTGCTTCCTTACTTTTTGCTTTTATTTCATGTGGGGCTTTCCTTTACCCTACCTATACAGTGGCCTCTGTTTCTGTTAACTTCTCAGATTCCCAGGCAGTAACATCAGAAAAATCCGTTGTGGATTTACCATTGGAACTCTACATCCTTCTGTCTGCCTTAACAGCAGTCAGAATTACTTGCCAGTTCAAAACTAGCATTCAGTATCCATTTTTTTTTTCTGCTACTTAGTATGGCAGCGTACCAAGAGATCAGTGCTGTAAAGTGCAGCTATGTGGCTGAACATGTTGTTATGATGTTCATTTTAAATACAGTCTTTCATCCTGAGATGTTACGATGTATAGGATGGAAGGCAAGAAGCTTACTACGGTTGTATAGGCAACACTATGTAACCACTTTAACAGTATATGGAAAATAGCTTTTTATGTAGTTTATATTATGTAGAAACGTTTGTGGGCAATATGGTTTTATCCAAGCTAAAAACTTGGTGAGGATGTTAAGACATTTCAGCTGGCAAGCAGTGATTGCTAAACCTAAGACCCAAATCATCAGTATTACCCTATAATAATTTAAAAAATTAAGATAAAAATAAGATTAAGATAAAAATACTTTTCAGAAGAAATGGGAATTGACACGCGTTATTTGTGTGTTATTATTCTGCATACTAAGAGAGGATCTGAATATAATGTAACACTTTCAAAGCACATTATTGCCTAGTGTTGTTCCACTGAAAGGAATGAGAATTTTCCGTTGACTTATGTGGGAGCGGGAGTAGACCCATAAAGAGGGAAAACACTACATTAAGATAGGGTTTAATATTTAGCAATCAGGAATGCTTGTTAAGAGAGGTTATGGAAAAAGGAACATTTTTGTCAGTGACAAGATCATACATATTGATAAACTGTCTCAGCAAAAGTGAGCTGTTGATGGCTTACATTTTATATTCATAAATATTTATGATCTGTATTTACCAAGTTAACAGTAAATAAACTATAACTTACCTTAAGAAGCTAATTTCCAGCAAGAATTGGACAGCTTGGTAAATTTTCTCTACATAGAGTATCTGTACAAGTTTGTAACAGATAGCAAGCTCCAGCTGCGTTTTCTCTTTTCAGGAACTTACTAAGAAATATGCAAACTATGGAGATTTAGACTGTGGTACCATATGTATATTTTTTTATATGTAACTTTGAAAATCATTGTAGACACAGAATGCACACCAATATTCCCATGAACATGAAATCCAAAGATGGAGCTTGAATTTTTTTTTTTTGGCTTTGTTTAACTTGACATGAGAGGTTGTGTGCCACTGGTTTACAGAAGTTTCACTTAGCTGTGAGATGCCCGAGTGTTTGATTAGTCCAATCTGTTTAACGGCCTTATGAATGCAGAGAGAGAGGACTGATGGAGCAAAGTTCTGAACTTCTAATTGTAGAAGAATAATGGTAGTCTACAGCATTGCATTTTGAAAATGGATTCCCGTAGCAATTGCTTACTGGTTCAAAGTCACCGATTGTGTTAGCGACAAGGTATTGCTGTAAACTTACAGTGCCACATCTTTGCAATGTCAGCGTACCCTGCCTGCATCACCGTCAGGCTGTTGATAAGTCAGAGATGGTGAAGTTGTGTTGGGAGGGTGAGAGGATTGGCTTTCTTGTTTGTGGGAACGTTTAAACGCTTTCAGTAAACCCCATTACATGAGCTGTTTTAACTGGTAAGACGGAAAGATTCGTGTTTGTTAGTCTATAAAAACAGCAGATAATGATAGACCATATGTGCCTAAATGTTAAGGCACTTTGAGCTGAAGGCTTAACTGATTTAACATGTTGTCCCTGTGAATTCTAAATCTTTGTAACACTTTTGTTCTGTATTGTTCTCTAATATTTGACTATTTTTGTAGGACAGTAATCGTTTGGTTAAATGTAGTAAAAATTGAAGGATAATTGCTATGGCATCAACATGCAAATGTATAGTTATAGCCACATTATGAGTATTACAGGATTCACACATTTCCACTATGTTATTTTTGAGTAAAAGAAATGAGGTATTTTATATGGAGCCATTTTTATTGTCAGTTCTTTAACAAAGAATGGTTAGCATGTGTTTTATATTTTGTCATGTCAAGTAGCGAGTCTTTGTTGCTGCGGGACTGGCTACTACAGTTGCACACACAGGGTACTGTTAAAAGTACAGGAGATTTTTTGCACATAAAACAGAAATGTATTGAGAAACTATATTTTACAACACTTCTTCTGTTTCGGGTCACTGTATATGAAAATGGAACACTTTGCATTCAGAATAGGACCTTATAAAAATGGTGTAGTTGGAATGCCTACTTTGAGAGCTGCAGCACAGCAGCGTGGAAGTGAAAACTTACAGAGCAGGCAGTCATCATTTTGGCCCTGCATTCATGTTCTCTCCCTTCCTCATCCTAATAACATGAGGACGTAGAAAGCAAAATTTACTCTAACCAGGTGGGATACTGTGACTTCCCATTTGGATTTGATCGACTTTTTTCATAGCGTTTCTAAAAGCCATTTATGGTGATAGAACTTGAACTGATTTGAAATGTGAATAGTCTTGCATTATTTTTTTTTTATTTTTGTAAAAATACTTCCATACTGTTGGAACTTTATTATTAATAGGCTGTGATTCTCATCCCCTCCAACATGCACGGTTTCTAATGAACACAATTCAGTGAAGTAAGAATAGATGGAAGCATTGTTAATAAATGCATCTCTATCAGTGTCTAACTTTAGAATTATGTGTATCAGAGTGTTAACTGCACATACCCTAACGCAGGTACAGTGACCGAAAAGCAGCTCACTTTAGCTTTGCTGGAGTACAAGGGAGTATGCTGCTGTACATCAAAGGCAGTAAAACACAAATCTATAACAAACTAGAAGTCTGATTAGAAGAGTGCACTTGCTATTCTAGGAAGGCTTGGTTTATGTAGAAATAGATAAAAACACAATTAAAAAAAAATTAGAATGTAGCCTAAACAACAGAAGGGTAAATGCTGCAAAACTGATGAGGTTTAAGCATGTGCCACTTTTGTTGGGAGGAGCAGGGTAGATGTGTAGGACACATAGAATAGCTAACAGTAAAAGAGTTTATGTGTGGTTTTGCTTCCATTATATTTATTATTTTGTAGAGACATTTGTGAATGTTAGACTTCTTTATTGTTTTATTATATTTATGTATAAAACAGGTTGACTCTGCTTTTTTAAAATAAATAAGCAAAAAAAGCCTGTATGAATGCCTCTGTCATCTTTTGAAGGAAGTTACCTATAAACATCTGGTATGGTGTTTTGTTTTCTTAAATAAAACTCTTTAGGCCAGACAATTTGAAGAAGACTGTAGCTGTGTTTTAACTTAAAAAGCAGATTGAAAACTTCAGAAAACTTAATGTGTCCTGACTACTTAAAAATGAGTGAAGATACTAATTATCTTGCTAGGTGCTAGAAAAAACTGGCTGGGGAGATAGACACACTTAAAGATGAGTTGTATTGCGAAAGGTCTCAGTAATTTTTTTTTTCATATATATAGATATATTTTTCCATTTTCACTTTTATTTTAAAATTAAACTTCATTCTTCTCCCCACATGTGGTTGGTAGTTGACTGGGACTCTTTCTTGCTTACTGACGAGCCATTCGGTTCCGTAGAAAGCAGGATATGCCTTGACCTCCCTCTGCTAGCTGCGTCTTTGCAGCAACATTTCTTTTTTTTTTAAGCTCTGGCACTAGTCGATTTAACATCAGTGAGCACTATATTAATTTCAAACCGCTTTTCTCACTAATTTCATTATGCAGAGGTCAAAGCTCAACAATGTAACTGCTGAAACGTTTCTGAAATTCATAATGCCGTACTTCTTCCTTGGTTCTCATCGGGGTAAAACTCCATTGGTTTATCTTTTGGGTCGGGACACAGAATACATACACAAATGTTGCTCGTTGTAACAGCCTGCTACTTCTCTCTTACCTTTTAAATGGATCTCACGGACCCAAATATACACTCCAGATGATCACTTAGAAAGATGATGAATGTAAAACTGTAGTTAAATGCAAGGGTGTGTATTTCTTACAGCGATTATGACTGGATACAAGAAAGAATGGTAAAACAGATAGCCATGTACAGCATAGCCAACCAGATATTTTGAAACTAAAGATACAAAAATCAAGTTTATTGCTTTTGTAATTAATTTTCTATATTTAGGGACAAATGTCATGCAAATGGAAAATTGTATTTAATTTCTTCCATAAACAGGAAATCTGCATGGAGATTCATAAAGGAGTATTCTATATTGGAAAAAAAATACTGAAATTTTTAAAGCTATGTCACATTGAATTTACATTGAGGGGAACATTAGCTGATGAATTCATAGGAAGAAGCGAATACATGTTTTTGCTCCGTTTGATTTACATATAACTCACCATGTGTGCCAAATACAAAACTCTATGTAGTTAATCCACGAATTTTTTCAATGCTGCTGCTTGTCAGTTACTGTCATGTTTTAAGGTTCACACATCATAACAGATACTTCATTGATTTTAAGAGTTAAGGAGATATATGACATTTCCTTTTAAACCTGTAAATTCTTCTGGAATGAATTTATAGCCCTCTTCTACCCTTCCAGCCAAAGGTCATTCCAAATGCTATATGTGGAATTTGTCTGAAGGGTAAGGAGTCCAACAAGAAAGGAAAAGCTGAAGCTCTTATACATTGCTCCCAGTGTGACAACAGTGGTAAGTATCTGCATACACTAAGCGGATTCCTAAGGGAGTTTGTTTGACAGATCTTTTTGTGGAAATACTTAGTGTGCTACACTTGGGTACCGGTAGTTCAGTTGCCTTTTCTGTCCTTCATTAAGACTCCATCTCTATTTAGTGTTACATGTACGAGCACATTCAGTGCACTGTGGGATCTCGCCAGGAGGTGAGCTAAGCTTCAGCTTCTGTAAAAGCAAACAGTCTAACTAATTTTAAATTTCATTTCAGACACAAAAGTAATGATATTGGTTTTAATCCAGGCCATCCTTCTTGCCTTGATATGACCCCGGAGCTTGTTGCTATGATTAAGACTTATCCTTGGCAATGTATGGAGTGTAAAACATGCATTATATGCGGGCAGCCTCACCATGAAGAAGAAATGATGTTCTGTGATGTATGTGACCGTGGTTATCACACTTTTTGTGTGGGGCTTGACGCCATCCCTTCAGGTAATAAAGAGTTAATTGTTCCCTTCCCACCTCCGAGTCCTGGGCTTTCTCTGTCAGAATTAATACATGCATTGCTTTTGAAATAGTTTAAAACAAGTGTGAAGGGTAGGAGTAAGCAATACGGTAGGAAAGCAGACACACTGTAGGACCCAATTTTTTTAATAAGCTTTATTTCTGTGTATTTGGTTGTGCACAGTTTAACCTGGCAATTCCTGTATAGGAAATATAATTGGTTTTACAACAGAATCTGAACAGACTCGCTCAGAACCGGGTGGATTTTTTTTCCATATCCACAAAATACTGAGAATAATTACCTCTTTTCATAAAAGAAACCTGTAAAGAGGCTGTATTGCTGCATATTGCTGGAGTATAGCTTTCACATTAATAAAGTGTTTGTGCTATTTCAGTTCCTAAATTAAAAAGTATGCTCAACTTAATATTTGTAAACACCCTTTTAAACCCCTTCCTTCCCATTTTCTTCTTAAACGTCAAAGCTGGAAGTGAAGTACCTAGATGTCAGGCAGCCTGTACCTTTAAATTACCTGATCACTCGTATCACCTGGCCAACTCAAGGCAGTGTAAAGAAGGCTTCAGACATATAAATAGCTGGTAGTACTGTTGCTTTTCATGTAATACTAAATCCATGGTAAGTTAGTTCATGAATAAGTATACAGTGGCTGCAAGTTCTGCAGTGACAGTATTCCCTTAACTACAGTACTTCCGATATACTGTACATTCCCATTTTGGAAAGCACTGGTGCTAGCTGTCACTTGAGTACAGGTTCTGTGGCCGATTTAGGTTTCAGGCTGACCTAAGGACAGAATCTAAACAAAATAGATTATATGATTACAAAAGTATAAAATTACCAAGGCAGCCTTTATGATTCCAGCTGTTGTAATATAAACAGTTAAATGCTTCTGCTCTTTGCTCAACCCTTTATTGTTCCCTCAGTAAATGAGTTTTAGTACAAGGTCTGGTGGTGAACCCCTGCCAGCAGTTTAATCGGTGCTGCCTGACTGCACTGAAATGACTGACACTCATCTGGGGAGTGGGACCCCGTACCTATGGCAGAAGAGCAACATTCCCCAACTGCCATTCATTTCTGCAACTGCCCATCGCCTCGAACTGTGGTCATTCATGTGAAAATGTAACTTGCCAACTCACAGTTTGTCAAGTTCTTTCCTAATAACCACCTCCTTAGCAGTGCTGGCACTTCTTGAGGTCCCTAAAGATTAGTGTAGCCAGCTGTTAAATGTAATGAGTCCGCCATGGAGGGTGAGTTTTATACGCTGCTTTCTATACCTTTTAGAAGAGATGTTTACATTTTAAAGAAACGCACTGGTTGTTTACATTAAAGGAAGGTACTGCAAATAGATGAGCACTGATTAGAATGGTGAAAGGTGCGTAACTATAGATGAATGGGTAACAAAGGTAGTTTCCCAATAATTGATAACTTTCTTTTCTTAGGTCGCTGGATTTGTGATTGTTGTCAGAAAGACCCTCCTGTACCCAGAAGAGGAAGAAGGGGGAAAAACAGCAAGGAGGGCTAAAAAACCCCAAAAACTTGCTGTCCAAAACTTAACTGCACAAATTAAAGTGATACTTTGGTGCTATTTAACCAACCACTCGTAAGAGGAACAATACCACTTTTTTTTTTCTTTTTACCAAATAAACTTTTAATTTTGGCTATAAATTATTTTTTTGTGATACAGGTGACTAATCATGTCCTGTCAGATGTCTAGATAGAGACAGACAAGCCAACTTCCCACTTAAAAAGAGAAGGCTTTCAGTAATGAAATTTAAATTGTACATGCACCATTTGTATAAAATTATAGTAACTTACTTGTTTATTTCAGTGCACTCATCACTAAGCTCTGTGAAAAGAAAATTACAGAGCAACTTAAATATACACTATTTGCATAGCAACTGGTTATTTTGAAAGACTCAACCAAAGCAAAAAATACTCCTGGAAAAACTAACTTTCAAGGAAGAGTGGACATGATCTGACCTTCTTACAATGCACTGTAAATTCCTTTCAGCAGAAATTTTCTTTGCAAGCTAATGACTTATTCATAAAGATGTACTAAAAAAATCAATCACAAAAAGCTATAAAGGGAGGTGTAAGAAAACACCTCTCAAGTTCAAGATATTATATGCTGCGTTGCTTTTAACGAGGAATGAAAATGTTGTATTGACAAGTAACAACAGCTGAAGGCTTACTCTCCCTGCAGTAATAGTGAAGAAGTAACATGCACTTGATTCAGGTCATGGATTTGGAGAGGTGATGAGCGACTAGACAGACCTCTGCTTGACAGATGACTGACCTCATGTAGAGCACAAGCAGTCAAAATATAGATCATCTATCCCCTTAGGTGACTGACTTGTTTTTCCTTCCTTCCTTCTCCCTAGGCTCCTCCACTTGAACATACTCAAAAGCCATTGCTGATTAGTTTTACTGGAGATACTTGCTCAGAAATGGAGTAGATTTTGTTTTTAAATATGCTCTAAATTGAGAGGGGGCACCGAAGTGCAGCCGTTTGTTATTTTACTTTTCTTCATTAAAAAATGATAGAAAATACTGAATTGGAGCTGACCTTCCTAAGCACCTGTTTAAAGTGAATTTAACAAGATCCCAACTGTACATTCCTTTTCAAGCCCTAATCTCTGAAGAACGCTGCAAATACTGTGCTTGCTGCTAATTTTACAAATGGGAGGGATTTACAATATAAAATAAAATATGGCTTCTTCCCCCACTTCCTTTCTGGTTTAGGAAAAGTAACCTGAATACCCTTCCAGGAAACATAACAGAGAGTATTAAATATTACAGCAAGTCATTCATGTTCCATTTCACAGGCTGAAGTGTGATTTAGTCCAGTGTGTATCAATTTAAAAAAGAATTTCAAGTATTAATTTCAAGATTCCAATAAGTATAGTCCAGAAAACAGATTCCTCATCCTGAGATTCATCTTCTGTAGACTGTGAGTATTTCTGGTTTGCCTCCATCTCCTCGGGGTTGTAAGAAGCCTCGCCAAACGGATACTGTACAACTGTTCGATCATAGTACACTTTCATTTCAAACTCGCTCTCCAGGTGAGAGGGATGACCATAGATCCCTATTCCCACTGGGCGGCGGAAGTGTGCAGGTACGTGGACAACATCTTGGCCGCAAGTTACAGACTGCAACTCATATTCGTCAAAGCTGGGGTGAAGCGTCATATCGGATACGTACAAGTCTGCATCACCTTTTAAACTCCGCATCTGAAGTACGATCTTTCCTTCGTGATTTAGTCTCAAATAGCTGTAGTTTCCTGCTCCAATCTGACCTTGCACAACATGAAGAAGAATCCATTCTTCAGGTACGTCCTCTTCCTCGAAGGTATTTACCACAAAGAGTACTTGAGCTGCCACAAATATTACCAGGATTCTTCTCCAGCGTGCTGCCATGGTCTTAAGTTATATTCAGACTCTTCCCGCGTCCTGTGCACTACCTTGTGAATAGAAAACACAATTCAGATTTTAGCATATTCCATTCCTGGAAGGAATTGATTTTTTTTTTTTAATTTGGTAATTTTTAGAAATCCGCTCCAGTCCATACAAAGTTAAGCAACTTCAATTAAGTATGTTCATTAACTTTTCTTCTTTTTTAATAGTAACAAAAACCGTTCCTAAGATTCAGAGCTCTGTAGGATTAAAATGGCTTGAATTTCTTAAAAAAGTTAAACAGAAGTTAATCAAGTGGGTGTTCTTTCATCCAGAACTGACACAGAGACTTTAGTTTCATTCTACCTGCATACATGCCAAATTTGACAGATACACAGAAGAGATGAAACCCAATAATGATTTTAGCCTCAGTTTAAGAAAACAGAGTTAAAAAAGAAGGCTTTTGCATGCTTGAAGAAGCTTAACTTTGTATGAGATATTTAGGGCATCCTATTTGTTCTCCCATCCTCTCATCTTAACTTCAGAAGACAGTAAACGTGTAAGTCTGGATGTATGCATGAAACAGTATGCATTCTGACTTGCACTGGGAATGGAGTTAGAAATAAAAGCAAACTATCTAGTGAGATAATACATTAATTTATGATTCTGCTATGTGGATTGTTTCTAGGACAAACTTGGCATATTTTCCCTGAAAAAAAAATGCATTTACTTTCCTAAAGATTTTCTTATATACAAATGCTCAGCTCTTTACAGCACTTTTGCAAAACAGAAGGCCGAAGTGACAGGGGCAAGGGGGAGACAGAAAGGACTGCTGCAAGATTAAGGCTCTTGCACCCTTTCCCTCCTTGTTGCATGCTCCCAGTCAGGCAGCCTGAGCATGCCTGCAGCACTCCCATCCTTTGAACAGTTGCACTAAGCGTGTGTGTGTACAAAGAAGCAAGCTCTGAACCCTGCTGAAGGCTTCCAAAGTGTACAGCTGGCTGAATTTGACATGCAAATCACAGTCAAGTATAGGAGCCACAAGTATAAACACTTTCATGTTTCAGATGAAGATTTTCATCCTCTCATTCCTTCCATAAGGACACTACCACTATCTTAAACATGAAAGCTACCCTGTTAGCATCAAAACAAACAGCATTACTTCCACTGAGATGTCACTTCAACCTTAGAGGTTTTACAGTTACACAGATCTAGGGAAAAAATGAACAAATATTTCTGTACTTCCAAGTTTTCTGCCCCAGAGGCCTCTATACTGCAAGGCCACGATTCTGCAAAGACAGCATAAAAGAAGGAAGCACAGCATTCACAGAACCTGCCAGACTGACAAAACCCCCTCAACAGCAACAGAAAAAAAAGGTCTCCTGCCTTTTGTCTCCCTGTATCAGGGAGCTGACTCCACCACTTTTAAATCGAAGCGGTGATGAAATATCCGAGCAGAGGAAGAGGAAAAACTCCACACCTGCGTGGGAAATAATTAAGTTACCTAGGGACAAACGAAAGCGTTCTGGCGCTGGAGCAGCACTTGGAAGGAGAGGCGATTTCAGGAGACCTTGGACAGAGCTAGGGCGCCTCTGCCCGCCCCCGCTAACTCCGGCCTTCCCCGCGGGC